TTTGCCTAAGCAAACCTTACTAACACATTATTAGAAATTACTTCCTCTTACATGAAAGCTACTCTCTTTGCCCTTAAATAATCATTCCTTACTAGCTTAGAGAATTTCTCTACTTCTACCTTCTTCTTTTTTTTTTTGACAAAGTTCTATACTTCTACCCTGTGCTCATAGAAGTTCTCTACTTATATCTTAACTTATATTCTTAAAACTAGGTCCACCCCGTTACGTATCGTCGTTCGGTGTCCCTATCATAGTATGTCAATCGTGTTACGTCTCACCATCTGGTTGCCTTCCCAACTCGGCAATGACATTGTGTTACGTCTCGCAGTCCAGTCCATGCCCGGTCAACTACTGTGTTACGTATCACTGTCTAGTAGTGATCCAATATCCTCGATCAACTGTTGCGTTACGTTTCGACATCCAACAGTGATCCGACCATCTACTGCGTCTAGTAGTGGACCAACCGCCCAGGAGTTCAATTACTTAACCTTAACCATACATTCATACATACACAAACACAACACATACCTCCACCTTAAATAGGCGGTGAGATGACTCATACACATAATCACACATTACTTAAAAATTAACTAAATAATAACTTGAAACGAAAAACATAAACTAAAAAAATCCCTACAAAAATTTTACCCCTTTACACTCACATTTCTCATTCAAGTCGAGTAACTTGGAATTGCCCGCCATCTCGTCATTGTTTACTGCTAATTCATCGTCAATGATTCAGCCTCCTTTCTGATAAAGTTCTCGCCTGCTCCAGCAACTCCTAAGCCATTATAATTACATTTAGTTTCCATGCCAAACCACCACTACTTAATTTACCATGCCCGCAGTTCCCGATCCCGGTGATAACATCCCCAATAGCCCATTTTATTTAGTACCCCATTTCAGCCACCATGAGACCTCAGTTTCCATGTAAATTTCATTGTTTACTCCACTAGTGCTTCTCGTTACCCGGAAAGATATAAGGTCTAAATAAAATTCCATCCATCCATGCATTACGTCGACTAACCGCTTCCCATAAGAAATTCCTAGAATTGATTAATGGCTTCTTCAAATTCCCCTGGGCTCAATTTTGCCCCATTCCCACTAATTATATGGATGCATGCTACAGCTGGTACCCTCGTTTAATCATATGGCTGAAAGGAGTAAGAAATTCTCACTTGAATGAATCTGAATGAATCTCTACATGCCAAATGCCCATATAATAGCACCGCATCGTCAATTTATTAGTGGCTCTCACACTCCTCTAAGTGCAATTGAGGAAGTTTCAAGTCCTTCTTTTACCACACTCTTCGTTCTACAACCTTTGTATTTAGTTATTGTTCGCTAGGTTTTCGTCTATGCATTTCTGCACAAATAATCACTTTTGTATTTGTTATTGTCCACTAGGTTTTCGTCTATGGCTTTTTGCAGAAATCATCGCCTTTATGTTTAGTTATTTTTCGTTAGGTTTTCGTCTATGACTTTTTGCACAAATCATCGGTTTTGTGTTTTGTTATTGTTCGCTAGGTTTTCGTCTATGGCTTTTTGCATAAATCATCGCCTTTATGTTTAGTTATTGTTAGCTAGGATTTTGTCTATGGCTTTTTGCACAAATCATCGCCTTTGCCCACCATTTTGCAGCCCATCTCGAAATTTTGCAGCCCATCCTCTTTAGTATTTTTTTCTTTCTTTTCTTCCTTTTTGTTGAGTAACCCAAACACATGGGTATCCTACCTTGAACCTAAATCATCGCCTTTGTCCATCATTTTGCAGCTCATCTCGAAATACTGTCGACGAAATCCTAAGTTGTTCCCCACTACAGTTTCTCAAGGACGCTACCACGAGTTTTGTATCAAGACTAAGTTTCATCCTTTTTAGTGTTTTTTTTCTTCTTTTTTCCTTTTTGTTGAGTATGATCACAATTGAACCCAAACACATGGGTATCCTAACTTGAACACAAATCATCGCCTTTGCCCACCATTTTGCAGCCCATCTCGAAATATTGTCGACGGAATCCTAAGTTGCTCTCCACCATCGTTTCCCAAGGTCGTTACCACGAGTTTTGTATCGAGACCGAGTTTCATCCTCATTAGTGTTTTTTTTCTTTTTCTTTTTCCTTTTTGTTGAAACTGATCATAATTGAACCCAATGCCGCTACCGAAAATCCATACCATATCTACTCAATGTTTGCGAGTTTTGTATCGGTACCGAGTTTCGTTCACATTATTGTTTTTTTTCACTTTTTCATTTTTGCTGAGCATGATCACAATTGAACCCAATCCATGGGTATCCAACCTAATTCGATCCAGTCAAAGAGACTTGAAATAGATTGTAGCATTTATAAATTTCTCTTTTTTTCTTCTTTTAGTTGGGAAGACAATTGAACCCGAATCTAAGGTTTTGACGAGTGTTATATTGTCAGGGAGCTTTATCCGCTTTTGTAGTTTGTAGGTTGAACCAAGGGTTAATTTTTTAAAAAATTGTTCAAAGCGAGTTGAACACATTGTTGACCAGTTTTTAGATCGAAAGCGATTTTGTACACTTAAATGTTTTTTTTATTTCTTATTTTCCTTTTCGTCGAGAATGACAATTGAACTCGGATCCATTGTTGACGCGTTTCGTATCAAGAGTGAGTTTTATCTGCTTTTGTAATTGACATGTTGGGAAATATTGTGAATTTATTAAAACTGGGTCGACCCAGTCAAAGCGAGTTGAACACAATGTTGAGAGTTTGGGTTCATGAGCGAGTTTTATCCGCGTTAGTATTTTTTTGTCTTTTTCCGTTTGGTTGAGATCGACAATTGAGTCCAAACGCATGGGTATACAACCTAATTCGATCCGACCAAAACGACTTGAACCTGATTTTACAGGTTTTCGGCATGAGCAAATTTTATCTTTTTTTGTAATTGGCGTGTTGTGTCAAGTGTGAATTTTTCCAAAACTCGGTCCAACTAGGTCAGAGCAAGTTGAACTTGGTGTTGACGAGTTTTGAGTCGGTAGCGAGTTTTAGCTTTAGTGTTTTTCATTTCGCTTTTTCCTTTCGTTTGAGAAAGACAATTGAACTCAAATCTATGGGTATCCAACCCAATTTAAGTTGATCAATGCGAGTTGAACCTCCTCAAACCTGCAATCAGTCCAAAAAATTCATTAAGGAGAACCACGATTACCTCAAACCCAAAGAAAAATCCAAAAGAGGACGACTATGTTTGGTCCGAATTTTAGAAGTTTTATGTTTGAAAAGTTAAAGCCAAGTCAAACACCTCTAAAGTTTCGCTTTTCAAAAAACTGAAGTTTTTCGTAACTTAAAAGCAGAAGCTCCAATTGAAAAATACAAAATTGGTCGTTCCATATATTATTATTTTTCTAGAAAATATAATTTTCTACAAAATTGAAGCCACGCTTTACCTTTATACTGATTGGATTCAAAATATATGCTCCCCTCAACACCGCCGAGGACGTCCCTTGGGACCTCATCATCGATAATCCTTCCTCCTTCCTCTCTTTCTCTTTTGCTTGCGGCGGCAACGTACGACAACTATGCGCCGGTCCTCTGTCTTATGAGTCTTATCCCTTCCCCCGAGTTGTATCTCTTTGCTCCGCCAGAAGAGACTCCAAATCTCATTTATAGACCCTAGTTACTGATCCCTAGCTCCTCCCAAATAATTCCATCGGACAGCCTTGAGGAGTAATGGAGTCCGCTACTGTAAAGGCTCCCAATTAAGAGCTTAAGGGCTCCAACCATTTGATTTAATGGGCCTCTATAATATTCTCAATTAACCGACTTACGGTTGTGGTGGTAATACATTAGAGGTACCCAGTTGACCCAACTGTGACTCGTTCGGAGTTTTGTTTGGTTTGAGGTACCATATCTAACCATTGAATCAAATCATGTATCAATTTCAAGTTAAACTTTTAACTTAAATATCGAGGTGTTACAAACATTCTTTGTAAGACACGATTGATGTTGGGTAATATTCAGTCCTCTTAATATTCTTTGGAAGACACTATTGGTGTTGAGATCTAACTCCAGAAAATTGTTATTCAGTCCTCTTAAGAACTTAATCACATAATTTGTTTCCTAATATTCATAAACCCTTCTCATGGATACACATTCAAGGTGACTAGTGGGTGTACAAGTACAGGGAATCAAGGGCGGATATTTTTCAAGTTTGTCTCTAAAAAGTAATGAATCTACCATAATACTATGTGATAGTCTGATTACCTTGCTTCAAACTGGAAAGAGCCTCCTCTAACTTAGCAACTCCGACAAAGTCTACTGAACCATACCTTGTTTGCAGGCTTTTCCAAGATTCTGCTTCAAAGTTCCTAGACAAGATCATCTTCCTAATCTTTAACTCAACAGATTGCTGAATCCAACTTAGTATTATCACGGTGTTCCTGATCCAAGCTCCTCCCTTTGTATATTTTATGCAGGCTCCACCAATGCACCATTGATAAATCCAAGCTTGTCTTTGGCCGCAAGCGCATTGAGCACAACTCTACTCCAATCGTTATAATTCTTAGTGTTGAGCTTTTCTCCCGCCAACAATAAACCTGGCTTCTCAGAGCCATGAAAGAAGTAAGGATCTTCCAAACAATAAGTGATTTGTTGTTGTTGTTGTTGATATGCAGCGTCATTCCTAGATGCATTCTCATTTGTATTTTGTCCTTCCACAGCAGTGGCTAGGTTTTACAACTAGGCTCTAATACCATAACAACATATCTGGTTTGTAACCCTAGAATCACTTATCTCATTTCATTAACAAACATCAACTTATATACAGTGTATTAAACGCTACATGACAAGATCAAAGTTGCCCTTTCATGTTCTGTCCATTTACTTGGAAGGGAAACAAGCTTGTAACTTAAGCAGAAAGAAAGAGACATACATAAATAGCAAAACGACACCGGGTGGGATATGTGACACGGTGGCGTATTTCAATCCATTTTATTGACGATGATTGAGACGTATTGGAGTTTGTCGACCATTGGGAATTTGAATGATCAAAGACCATTCTCTGTTATCCGTCACTCAAGCCCCGACATGCTTGGTCTCGTTCGGGTTTTCCGACACTGATTTGCATATGGAGGCTGTCAAATTCACTGACGTAATGGAGCTTGTCGACTGTTACGAATCCGAGCCTTCTTCCATTTGGGTCGGCAACAAGAATTCCACCACCCTGGAAAAAACAACGGTTCTCATCATAGCAAGCGTCAGAAACTTGAAAATTGTAAATGGCAGTGTTTACCAAATTGGCGACGAACCTCAATTTTCGGACGCCTTCACACCATCCTTGGGCTCCAAGCAATTCTGTGAACTCCAAGCATAAGCAATAACAAGTCCTTAACTCTGTTCCTGTCCCTGAAGTGCCAATAAAGAATGTCAAATTCCTCACATAAACATTCCTTTTTACCCTTTCTATTAGAAACAACCTTCGATTTTATATTATTCTTGAATACGACGAATCCACAAACCATTAAAGCATTATTATTTCTCATGCTGATGCCCAAAGCACTCAAAAGTGGGATTTGAATCTTAAAATCTTATAATTTTACGATTTTACTTACTATTTCGATAATGATTCACTATAAAATCTATGAATCTTAAAATGCTACACTATTCACGATTTAAATCCTTAAAATCTTTAAGATTTTATGATTCAAATTTTTTGGTCAATTTGACTTATTATCCCCATAATTTGCAAAATTAAGCCTCTTTTCCTTCTCCTCCACTAACATCATCTACTTCTCTCACACTAACCACCATCGACCATCATCAATTTACATAAGCGTGTTAATCATCATCGATTCACCACTTACTAAGCATGATAAATTGGAACATTAACATTGAGAAATTATCATTGTAAGTTTTATGTGTTTTTGTGTTATTCATGATTTTCCTTATTAATTTTATTCCATCTTCGTTATTATATGGACATTAAAATCCTAACATTTTACGATTTCGATTTTGCCACTATTTTTTATTTTACGTAATCCCAATTTTGATTGTATGTTGATGATGCTTGTCTGTGTGTCTATGAATAAGAGTTGAGCAAGGCCCACTCCACCGAAGTTCTGATTTTGATTCCTGTGGCAACACGCTTGTTGTATCCAACCATGTCAATGTGCATCCATTGGACTTTCTCGTCGACAAACTGAGAGAGAAACAAAAACACAGCCTAAGAAATAAGAAATCGTGAATCCGCCAATCCAAATTGATTAGATTAGTTGGATATTTAAGTGGATGAATTCGATTGGTGGATTGTACTATAAATTGTCGCGTCTAGTGAAACTCCAAAGAAAGCTAGAAGCACTTTAAGCCATTGAACTTCACCAGAAAGTTCTGCCAGAGCTCTATACTCTGCTTCTAAAGATGAGCGTGACACAATAGCCTGCTTCTTACTCTTCCATGTAACAAAGGAATTTCTCAAGAAATTGTTATATCTAGTAATCGACTTCCTGGAGTCAAGACATGTAACCCAATCTGAATAAGAATGTGTACAATTAACTGCAAACTGAATAAAGAGGAGGACCATGACCCTTGACTTGGACATCCCTTTAAGTACCTCCGAATTATACAGCCCTTTGTCCTGTTTAGTTCCTTATGGGGAAATTGGGCATACTATGTAGAGCAAGGAAGAACTGAAGAACGAGAGAATGGGAAAGGGATCTCACCCCGGTCCCCCATCCCGAAGAAGCTGGAGAGACTCAGAGTGGGTGAGGGATCAGGAGAGGAGGGGTGTGAATTCTGGTGTTTCTTCTGTTTGCAGGTACCAGTCTCCAGGGGGAAGTAGCGGCAGCAGCTTGTCCGTGGACTGCAGTCTTCAGAGGCAGATGGGATCCAAGACAATATCTGTGAGCAGAATTAGGATAGGTAAGGCCGTTTGGTACAAAGTCACCGCCGAAGAAAAAGGGAAGACTTGGTCCGTCATTCTTGACGCCTCACAAATCTCGTGGCTTCAAGGAGTGCTCCAAACTGAGGCCATGAAAGAATGGACATTCCCTAACAGCTGCTCTCTGAGAAGCGGCAATCGGGTCATCCAGGTTTGCAGACTCAACGACCAACGGGGGACTAAGCTTCAAATATCAGAGAAGGTGCAAAGTGGAAGGGTTTTTAAGATCTTCATCCCCCCGTCCGGTATATGCACTTCATGGGCGAGCTTAACGGCACTCCTCCAAGATTTCTACCACTCTGAGATGAGCCTTCACGTCCACATATCCCAGACCTATAAGGACTCCTCTAGTCCATCTCCCCCCCTCCCCCGCGACTCAGATCCTACGCTGACGCAGTCAAAGGGGTAGGCTTTTATGGCGGTGGCAGATGTGAAATAAAAGGAGAGCCCGGGAGGCAGTTCATAGAGATCGGTGAGGAGGGAGTCTCAATCAGACGCAATCTACTGGGAAGGTGCATTTTCATCGAGCTCACACCCAGCAGGCGCGAAGTGCCCATCAAGGAGCTGTTCAACGACTTCCGGCGATGGGTTGCGAAGAGGTGGGCAGTCGACAGCAACTTCTCGTTTGAACAACTTGACAATGGGAAATTCATGTTGGTGTGTCCGAGCATTCAGGAAGCAATGAGGATTCTTAAGTGGAACCATTCTACGTTCAGAACTTTCACTGTTCGACTATCCATCTGGAACGAGACAACTACTCTGTCGGAAGGGCCGGAAGTTTGGATCACAACCTACGGAATTCCACTTCATCTTAAGAGCATCTCCCTATTCCAGGCCATCGGCAACTACTGCGGATCTTTCTTGGAAATCGATTGGAATTCTTGGAGCTCATCCCTTGTTCGCATCAAAATCAAAACCAGATCCCACAGCTGTATCCCCACTGAGATCCCGATTGCTTTCCAGTCACAGCGGTTCTCAATCTCTATTCACGCGCCACCGTCCAGCCACATCTCCGAGCAGCGTTCGGGAAACATCGCCAGGCCATCCGGCGGCCGCCTCGGGAATTACAAGGGTCTAGAAGGATCTCCTCGGTCATCTGCAATCCAGAATTCTAAGCGTCACAACTCGGGCTGTGTTTCACATCGCCTTCCTACGTGCATGAGCAAATCCGGCATCCCCTCCAAGAAAGGTGGTACTCAAAGCAGGCCAGGTCCTCCCTCTAAAACGACTTGGGTCCGCAAATTCGGCCCACTCCCCAAACCTTTCATCCCCATCAAACCCAACACCAAACCCCAATACGCAACGGAAGAGCCGGACCTCATCCCACTTGCCAAGCCCACCAATTCTCTCCTTACCCAAAACCAGTCCTATCCTCTTAAGCCCACTTCACTCAGCCTCATCGTTACCCACCTCCTGTCCAACCCAAGTCTTAATCGCCAACCATACCCATCTCCTATCCTCGTCTCATCCCTCTCATTGCCTTTTCCCATTTACAAACCAAATTGCCTCCCACCCTTCACACTGGTCATCCTCAACACTAATTCCCAAACCCTGCCTGCCCCACCGCCAGCTAACCCCCAACCCAGAATCACTGAGATCGAAGATCTTCCCCCCCTAAGTCACCACAGCTCCACCCGCCCCTTTCCCCAACCCACTCCGATGATCTATTCCAGGTGCCCGAAACGCCCCAATCCCCCGCCCCTAACAACACACCCTCTCCCCCTGCCGAGGAATTTCCATCCCCATCCTGCCTCAGTGCTAATTGCGGTCCCGTCTGGAATCAGGATGCATACCCTTTTGACCTCAATACGCTCGAGTCCACCTGCCTTTCTATGGCCAAGATATTTGAGCTTAGTCACGAAGAGGGGGAAACCCAGGTCACCAACATGATTATCGACAAAGCCAAGGAAACCCACCGAAGAAAAGTCCGTACGAGCAGGTTCAAACTTGAAATGGAAAGACATCGAATTGGGCCATTGCCACAGGTCATTGTCGAATCACGCCGAGCTAGACGGCGCGTGGGAAGTCAATTGCCCAGAAATGCGTCTTAAATGGAGAGCTCTATACTTGTTTGGAATATGAGGGGTCTCTGTGACGCCAACAAGCGAGGAAGGATCAAGCGTATCATTGGCAGGCGTAAACCCCTAATCGTCGGCCTGGTGGAAACCAAGTGGGATCATTGCAATGTTACTTCTATTAGCAGCATTAGTGGTTCCAGAAATTACGGATGGGCGGCGAAGAACGCTGTTAATAGTTGCGGGGGCATCGCTGCTTACTGGGATCAGAGTCGATTCAGAGAGCTAAACATAAAAGAAAGCAATTATTTCCTCGCTATTGAACTGTTTGATACTATGGTCAGCAAATACTGGAACTTGGTCATTGTTTACGGGCCTCAGTCTAGAGATGATAAGATTGCCTTTCTTCTTGAATTGAATCGCCTGTGCCAGCAGCTCAACGAACCTATCTGCATCATGGGGGACTTCAACTTAGTTCGTTCCCACGATGACTACAGAGGCGCTCGTCGGGACTGGAATCTTATGATGGAGTTCAACGAGTTCGTCGACAACAATACCCTGATGGAACTCCCCCTCGGGGGGAGTAGATTCACTTGGAGCCGTGGCGGATCTAATGAGTGCTTTTCGCGCATCGATCGAGCTTTCATCAGTGCTGATTTCGACTCCATCTATCATGACTGCACCCTCATCGCTCTCGAACGAATAGAATCTGATCACAACCCTCTTCTCCTCAAATGGGGTGGCGATCTCCGCATCAAAAGACCATGGAAATTTGAAAATATGTGGTTGGAAGATCCAAGATTCTATGATGGTTTGAGCTCTTGGTATGGCGACGTTATCTCTGGGCAGGGGATGATCTTCCTTTGTGCTAGAAGACTTCAACACATTAAGAACAAGATTAAGCATTGGAACAAAGAAGTTTTTGGGGATGTCAACGCTAGAATTAGCGGTCTTCTTACCAGGATATCCGAGTCTGACAAACTAGAGGAAGCCCAGCAGCTTGATGATTCACAAAGAAGAAGCAGGGATCTCCTAAAAATTGAACTTGGTCGACTTCTCAACCTAATCGAGATCTCTTAGAGACAGAAATCCAGGGAAACTTGGCTCAAGCTCGGCGACAAAAACAGCAATTACTTCCATAAGGTTGCCAATTTTAGAAGGAAAATCAATAGGATCGAGTGTATCAAGATCAACGGGATCATGACCGAGGGCAGACAAGAAGTGGCAACAGGAATCGTCGAGTTCTACAAAAATCTCTTCCTCGAAAGCACACCTTTTCGACCTTTCCCCTGGGGTTTTGCACAGCGTCAGTTAACACTCGAAGAGAGCCAATTCCTTATACGGCCATTCAGCGAGAAAGAAATTTTTGACTGTCTCTCGGATTGTGATGGCAGTAAAGCCCCGGGACCAGACGGCTTCACTTGGGAGTTCCTCAAAAGGTGTTGGGCCTGGGTGAGGAATGATATTCTCAATGCCTTCCACGAATTTCACTCTTCTGGTTACATCCCTAAGTGTGCCACCCATTTGTTTCTCTGCTTGTTGCCCAAGAGAGACGTGGTCGAGGATACCAGAGATTTGAGACCCATTAGTCTCATGGGTTGCATCAACAAGCTTTTCAGCAAAGTCCTCGCTAACAGAATGAGTGGGGTTCTCCCCAAGTTGGTTTCGTTGAATCAGCAAGCCTCGGTGAAGGGGCGCCAAATCGGTGATGCCGGTCTCATCGCTTTCGAGCTCATCGACAGCAGGAAAAAGAGCAAAAAACCGGGTCTTTTGTTCAAATTGGACATTGAGAAGGCTTTCGACAATGTGAACTGGAATTGTCTGCTCAAGGTTCTGTCTAGTCTGGGTTTTCACACTCAATGGAATAAATGGATCCAAGGCACGATGTGCTCACCATCGATCTCCATTCTCATTAATGGCGAGTCCAATGGCTTCTTTCCAATGCAGAAGGGACTTCGCCAGGGCGACCCACTCTCTTCCGGCCTCTTCGTTCTGGTTATGGATATCTTGGACTTTATGTTGCACAGGCTAAGAGATCATGGCAAGATAAGAGGTTTTTTCATGAACGAGCAGGAAGGACAAGGCGAGGTGACCCATCTCTTATTCGCCGACGACACCTTGATTTTCTGCGAAGCCTCTTTGGACCAAGTTCTCAATCTGACTGCTACCCTGGTTTGCTTCCAGGCGGTCACTGGTCTCAGAATCAACCTCGAGAAGTCAATCATGTACACGGTGGGTGACATTCCTGACCCGGCCTTCTTCGCCTCGTTATTCGGATGCAAGTGGAGTGACCAGCCATCCCGTTACCTGGGCTTCCCGCTTGGGGCGAAGCTGAATGCCGTTGCTACGTGGGATCCCATCATCCAAAAATATCAAAAACGCCTTGAAGGGTGGAAAAGTCGCTTCCTGTCAATGGGGGGTAGGCTCGTCTTGAATCAGGCGGTGCTGTCAAGTCAAGCAATCTATTTTTTCTCTCTTCTCAAGGCACCGAACACTGTGATCAAGAGGATGGAACGCATCCAGAGGAGATTTATTTGGAGTGGGACTGCAGATGAAAGTAAGTCTCCGCTTGTTAATTGGGATGTTTGCAAAGCTCCCAAGTCCAATGGTGGCCTTGGGGTGTTTGATCTTGCTAGTTTTAACAGCGCAATGCTCTCCAAGTGGTTATGGCGCTTTGCAAATGAAAGGAACAATTGGTGGAGGACACTCATTGACATCAAATATCCAAATCCACGGTCAAGTTGGCACACTGGAATCATCGACAGCGGCTTTGCTAACTCTGCCTGGGCTAATATCACTAAAGAACACCACAACTTTTGGAGTTTCGCTTATATCGACCCTGGCAACGGAGCGTGGACCTCTTTCTGGCATGACCGGTGGATCCCCGAAGCGTTGCTGGCCGACTCTTTCCCTCGGATCGCTGCTGCTACTACCACACATGAAGCCTCGGTCGCAGACATCAGAATCACCTCCAGTGATCAATCAGGTTGGATTATTCCATTAAACATTTCTTTGAGAGGGGGGGCTGAGAGAGAGAGGGGTTCCTTGCTTAATTTCCTTGATAATTATGCCGCTGTGAGAGTTTCCAGTGGCCCGTGCAGATTGATCTGGTCCCCTGGAGCAGATCAACCTTTCACTGTGTGTTCCATGTACAGGTCTTTGACGAAGAACAAGTTCCCAGGAATCAGCAACTTTCCCTACAATTCGGTGTGGAAACAAATCATTCCGACAAAAGTCTGCATTTTCATTTGGCTAACCTTCCTCAACAAAATTCTCACGATCGACAACATCAAAAAAAGAGGACAGCAGATGCGAGCTTTGCAAAGTTGAAGAAGAAACGGTGGACCATCTTTTCATTCATTGTGCTTTCAGCAAAGAGGTTTGGAGAAGCAGTCAATTGATCTGCTCGACCATCGACCTGCCGTCCATCAACACTTCATCTTCAATCAGCAGGTGGAGCTCCGATATCCCAGGGAGCATGGATGGCTGGATCAACTACTGCGCGCTCCACGCAATCTTCTGGCAGGTTTGGTTGGAGAGAAATCGCAGGATCTTCCAAAACAAGCAACTCACCTCAACTGCAATCACTCTCAAGGCCGTCAAGTTGATGATGGAATGGCCCATTGTCATGGGTAAAATCAGCAGGGAAGAAGGACAACATTGGCTTGACAACGTCCAGCTCCCTCCTTTGCGAGGTGCTCGTTGAGCTCTCCGAGTTTGCCTCTTGCCGGGCGTTCTTCATCAGCAGTTTGATCTGTCTGTGCAGGGGCGTCTTTGTTCTGGATTGTGTTGTTTTGCTTGTTGTTCGTCGTTGACCCGAGTCTCTCTTGCGGCCCCGGGTTTGTTGCTTTGTTCTTTGCCTTGCTTTGGACCAGCACGGTTTGTTGTCTCATCCCAGGTCTAGCGTTGCTGGCGTGCTGCAGGGAGGGTCTGGCCCCTTCAGCAGCCTCTGGTTTGTCGTTGCTTTGCTGCGTCGTTGGGTTCAAGTTTGTTTGACCCATCTTTCTTTCTTTATGTTGTGTTTTGTTTCCTTCCTTGTACCTCTCTCTTAGTTTAATAATATCATCACCATTATAAAAAAAAAAGTACCTCCGAATTATATGTGAAGCCTTTAGATGGGTTATAGTTGGACAATTCAAAGATTGACTTAATTTCTAAATTGGAAAACATATGTCAGGTCTAGTTTAATTAAATACTGCAGCTAGCCAAGTAGATGCATGTATAGTAAAACCTCTATAAACTAATATAGTCGGGATCGTGAACATTATTAATTTAGAGCAGTTAAAATTATTTTTTATAATGTATATTGTTAACATAAATGACTTTGTAACCTTAAAATTAGATTCATACGTGGTGTATCCATTTTATTTTAGTACAAATATAATTTGTTATATTTTGATAAACTTAACTAAGGTTCATTGTATTATCTTAATTGCCCAAATTCATACATAATTACTTTGGGTATAAATATTTATCGTATCTTCCATATAATTTCAAGTTCATACGACAACTTATCAGATTCAACGTATTCATTGTACCGAAATTTAATAGATGAAAACTATGTATTCATGTATGTCTAGTTTAGGTGTCCAAGATAAATATTTAATGTATTTTTGTAGATGGTCTAAATTCATGTTTCAATTTACTTGCACCTCTATATTCATTGATCATACCTTTAATATAATTCATCGAATATATGGTGACCCGATTACTATAAATACTACATAAAAAATGTAAAAATCATATTTTGATATGATCTCTAGCTCGAGATCTTTGGAGTTAAACCGCACAAGATCGATTAACATAAGCTTCATCTTCAACTAGGACCAAGATCACTCCAAAAACATAGTTTTTGGCTTTGAGATTTGATGGGATTGAAAGTGCAATTCCACACCTCGGCAAAGACTTGTTCAATATTGGTAGAAGCTGGATCACAATCAATAGGGCTACTTGATTGATACAAAGCACACACTCAAGAAACTGGAATCCACCAATTACACAAGCCAATTCATGAGTAAGAACTCAAGAACTAGGGTTAAATTTCAATGGCTAAAGATGTCCATACCACTCGGCTTTAAGGCCTTTAAATAGAACACGAATAACTCAATTCTACTACCCTACTAACAAGGAATACAAAGCTAATTAAAATACTCAAATCCCAAACGCAAAAGGTAAGGATACCAACCTCCAAACTGTTTCTTCTAACTTGATCAAACTGACTTCCAGAGCAAGTAACCAAAACAGCCTCCATACGATCTTCATGCTGCTCTTCTGAGGTCCTCTAAGCTCAGTCGACCTCAACTAACTCCTTCACTATCTTCAAAAAGTGTTGGACTTTCACTTCCAACTCCTAGCTTCACTCGAATGTCCCTCAAACTGAACGAGTAAGCTCCCAAAGTTGGTATCTCGAAACATTTTCTATAGATACCTTCTGTTTCAAACTTCAATGAAATTGGTTTTGGATAAGCTTTGAGACTTGGTTCATATTCAACAATGGCTTGTCATTTGAAAGGTGTCCAAAAGTCTACCATGGATGATCAAATACGTAAACAGTTATGTGAGTACAAGAGAGATCATCCCTCATGCACCCAAAAAGATTTGAAGAAGTGGCTTAACCAAACTTTCCATTTGAAAGTTAGTCAAGGAATGATATCAAACACTCTTAACCGATTGTCCGAGTACCTATCTGTTGAATTAGATCAAGGAGGAGCTTCCAAACGCCACAAGCCAGCCAAATATCCATAGATAGAGAAGGTTATTTTTGAATGCTTTATTCAATATCAAGACCGCGTGAATATGACATGAGATCTAATCTTGGAGAAGGAAAATGCAACATTAAAACTCCTCAACCCCCAACATACTGTCGAGCATCATCTTTCCCAAGGATGGCTTGATAAGTTCAAGCAACGACATGGCATCAAGTCATTTCGGCGTTTCAGAGAAAGCGGCTCGGTCGATACATAAGATATGGAGAGTAAGTTGGAGTCCATAAGACGAAAATAATCATTTTCCCATGAAAGATGTATTTAACATGGATGTGACTGGTTTATTTTTCAGGATAAAAGTTGATCACTCCCTTG